ATTTTTTTCAAAAAAAGTATTTCATCCTCTTAATGTACATATGTATATATAAGAGTAGCTATAAAAAATATAAATATATTTCTTATTTTTTATAATCGATACTACATCATATCAATCAAAACTCACCAAAATTGGAGAGAAGCATATTTGAATTTTTCCGAAATGTATGGCATTTTAAAGCTAAGTGAAGGCTAATAATGTCTATATGCGTGTACTTTACTGTTCATAATAAAAGAAATTTCTTAGATTGAAACATGTCATGTCTATATATTGTTATTTAAAACAAAATCAGTATTATTATAAAAGGATCTGACGTGTGCAACGCTGAAATAAAATAAAAATTGAAGTGTAAACAAAGTAAACAAATGTAAGAGGAGAATAGCTGAAACGCAAACAAAGCTTGTAGAATGCAAAAATTGAAACGTAAAAATGGTCTTTCATGTTCTTTTACGTTTCTTTGTCTCCATATTCATCTACTAGAAGTTTTATTTTCGTTTCTGTTACTCTCCTTTTACATCACTTATTCCAACTTTTATTTTCGCCAGGAAATGATAAGACAAAATCTGATCGTTGCTAAGATCAAGCGAGGAGTTTTCAGAAAAGATAAAGCTTTTTTTGAAAATGATAAATATTTCCCTAGTATTGGCCAAGAGAGAATAAAATAGAGAGAAAGAAAGAGAAAAAAGAGAAATACGTGACCGCACGATACAGCTGTATGTTTGTATTTTGAAATCATCTCGCAATGACTTTCGAGATGCTTGTTTTTTCTATCTTATACATTAACATTTATATATTTAAAATAATTAATAATATATGTAAAATATAAAAATTTATTTAAGAGATATTTAATTTTTCTTCTATAGAGATAGATTAGTCAGTCAAGTCTGTTGAAAACAAATTTTGTTAAATGCTTACTACAAATTTTGTCAACGAAAAGGCATCAAATTTGATGCAAATTCTATCATGTTAAATACTGTCAGCAAATTACAGGTGTCAGATAAATAAAATCGGCTGATGTAACATATAACAATTATAATTGTCGTCAAAGCTTATTAAAAATCTGATGGCAAAAACATAAATTGACTAAAATTTTCTTCGGTTTTTGCTGTCAATTTTTTAATTTTAACTTTGTCTAATTATGTATCCAGGCTAGCAAAACACAAGCTTATTACTGATACAGATGGTACTAGATTTGTCACCAATTCTCATCGAGTTTTTACGTCTATTTGATTTTTTGGCTAATTTTCTATCAATTTGTTTACTGGATAAATGATATTCCAACAAGAATCGAATATCAATCATAAGAGCAATGAAATATAATATAATCTCGCTACACTCTGAAACTTAGTCAAACGGCAACTCGCGATAAATTTTATCGATTTCAAAGTACTCTCAATAACGCATGTCTTTGTTCTAAGAATAAATATATTCATTTTCTAAGCGAGAGCTCTTATCTAAATTTCATATTTGTAGAACAATATTTATTATATAATATTATTTTTTCTATATTTTCACTAAAAAGCAATATTCTTTAGAATATGTTAATAAACTCTTATATTTGAATAAATTTTTAATAAAAATTACTTTTTTATCACAGCAGAAAAATTTTCAATAATCATTCTTTAATTATTATTGTTTCTGTACGTAATTATACTACTGAAAATCCCATATTTGGTTGAATCAACTAATCTCTTATTTAGATATGGGCAAGTCCTTGGTTGATACAATAAAATAATTTAGTTGAAGCACAAAAAGTTCGTTTTGGCTGTGTTTCAAAATTCACTGTCAGTGCTGAAAATATATAATACACGTAACATAAACTATAGATTTTCAGCTGGCAGTGAATTTTGGAACACAGCCTTTTCAACATTTTACTTGTTTCTGATTAAATGTTATAATAATCAAATGTTTACTTTATAACTAAATTATTTTACGATATGAAAGACTTGTTTGTCCATATCTAAATAAAAAGACAAGAGATTAATTGATTCATTTAAATGGAATTCTTAATGTAAATTACGACTTTTATTATGCTGAATTTATATTCGTACTCAATTATAATACATCATCTCTATAAAATAATCAGTCAATCATTACTCTATCAATTGTATTTTGTTTAGAAAAGTTGTATTAACAAAATTAGATTCAACATTACACAATGTGTAATAAAATATTAAGTTAACTTAGAAATTTAAAAATATTTTTATAATTATAAATACATTACATTTTTAAATACCTTACATTTATTATATTCATATATAATTATATAATATACTCTACCTTTTCTGATCTCTTTTCTTATCTTAATGACGTGTACATCTCTAATCGAATTATGTCGTATACGAGTATGTCATAATGATTTATTAATTATTATTTTTGTTATTATTATTCTTAATAATAATACATAATTTTATAACGATTTTACGAATATCGTTTTACCCTTTGACAAGATCCTTTTCTGTACAGTGTACGATACATCCTCGAAGAGCAGATAGAGCGATCTATCGACTTGCGCGTCGTCCGCCCACTGTTGCAGATCGCGCGTTCTTTCTGCAGACCTCATTGTCATTTCGTAGCCAGATAATTTGTGCGTATGTATATGTGTGTGTGTATGTGTATATGTGTGGGTGTGTGTGTGTATGTGTGTGTGTGTGTGGATCAGTGTCGCACGGGTCACACCTCTCTCACTGACGATCTCCGCGTCGAGTTTTCGCCGCGCACGAGCGCGTTTCACATTTCTTCCGCACGCTTTCCTATTACCCGATCGACTGGCACGCAGCTTACTTGGCGTCGTCCGATTCTGCAAACGCGCGTTTATCCACTACACGCACACTCCTTTTACCCAACTGCTGGCGGACAACTTCGTGACGTTCGATTCTATGCGCGCCTTTATCCACGCGCGCGTAAACGCTGGACGCCACGGCGTCGGCGCGTGTTGTCGCGTCGCGTCGCGTCGCGTCACGTCGCGTTGCGATAAAATAAAGACTCGTATAGTCACTGGTATTCGCGTCCTCGGCCTGTCGAACAACAATCGAGAAATCAATGTTCAAAGTCCGTCTATGTAGGTCTATCTAAGCCAGTGTGAATCTGCGTTATCAGATGATGCACTTTTGTAGAGATAAGGTTTTACTATTATTGGGAGGAAGAGCAATGCACGTAATAACGATGCTACTCCTCGGCTATGTTCCAAATTTACTGCCAGCGCTGAAAATGCTACAGTTTACTATAGATTATCAGCATAGGCAGTCAAGTTTAGAACAAAGCCCTCGTTCCGGAGATAAAGGAGAATGCTGAATATAATCAATTCAATTCTATTCAAATAACACAAAGTATAAAATCGGGATATAAGAAGACGCCTTTTAAATGCTCGAAATGTCTTTAAAATATCTTTTAAGCGTTATCTACAATGAACAGTGGCAGTGGAGGCTGTAGGCACGTCGGGAATAAACTGACGGCCCAGCCAGAAATGGTTGATCAATGAATATTAAATCAATGCTGATTCGCTCGACGTCAAATCGATGTTAATTCAACGTTGATCGATGTTAATTCGATATTGATCGATCAATCACCTGTAGCTGGATATATAATAGGGTGTAGAGTAAGTCCATAAGCGAAATGGTTGAAATCTATTTCCTTAATTTTTTATATACGTTATTTCTTTTCAAGAATAAGGCTGATTAGTCATCACGCAATAATTCTTAATTTAACATATTCCTATATTTAGATCCAACAAAGAACTGAAAGCAATAACCAATTATATTAAAGAATCACTTACTGATCAGTTTTTTTTATTTAACTGATTGCCCGCTTGGTACGTGGCATGGAAATGCAAGAAAAAAATTATCTTATAAAAGAAAAAATAATTAAGAAAGCGCTCAATGGCATTGTTTTTCTATTTTATAAATTTAATTTATTTTTCTTTGTTTATTAATTCCTCTCCTCTTCTTTGGCATTTCTATATATAGAATGTCCCAGACCACCCGTACATCTCTTTTACTTTCACAGAATTCAATCAAAAATATGTTTAGACAATAATTTTTGGATTTAAGTCCCAGAGACATAACAACCTATCAGAATTCGAATACACCGGATTACACAATTTCTGATAGGTTAAAATCGAGTAATTTCTATCACTATCGCTATTCCTTTCCATTGTGTCTGGATCTATAAATAAAAAGTACTCTATGTACTAGTCTTATTAATCTGACTTTGGGTGGCGTAGTCGAAGTTAGGTCAAGGTAACACCGATTTTTTCAAACAGAAACTTTTATTGCATTTTTGTAGCTTATCTCGAGAGCTTTTCAAAACACTGCTCAATCAGCAGATAATGTTTTTAAAATGTTTTTAAATATTTATTTAATGTAAAAATATTAAATTAATATTTAAAATATATTTCTTGAACGTTATATGCCGACTGGATATAACAAAATATTTTTTTATTAAGTACTTTCTAAGTTATAAGGTTTGAAAGTTACAGTAACGTTGACATTAGCATTATCTACGGTTCGATTGATGATGAAAACCTTATAAATGTTATTCAGGTTTATACTAAAAATGAAAATAAAAGGCCTTGATCTTAGTATATGATGTCAAAATCATAATTCTGCGAAACATTTAAAAGATTTAAAATGTTTAAAAGGTTTTATCAACATTTTATAGATAATACTAATGCCAACGATACAGTAATTTTCAAGTTTTCTAACTCAAAAAGTACTTAATAAAAAAATATTTTGTTATAATGTTTTAAAAAGCTGTTGTGATAAATTAAGTTTCTTTTATTACAAGAATGTGTAATCAAAAGATAAGGGTTTTCGTTTAAAAAAATCGATATGATCTTGACCTAATCTTGACAACGCGATCCAAAGTCAAATTGATAAAACTAACAGAAAAATCTTCTTAAACATTAAAAACTATTAAATATATGAACATATTTTTTGTTGAATCTTGTCCTATGAAGATAAATCCTTATTACCTGAACCCCCACTAGAGCAAATCGAGTTGGAACATAATCAAAAATTTAGTCAAAAATTTAACTATTTTGTTGCCAATTTGTTGCTTGTACACTGCAGCCAGTACTGAAAATCTATAGTTTATTTTACGTATATTATAGATTCTCTATACTAACAGTGTGTATCTATATATTGAAACATAGTCTTTATTGTTAGAGGTAGAGTCCGATCGAAACTTTTGTCGAAACTGAACCTCACTCAGCTACATGTCAATTTCAATCAAAACCGAAACCAAAATTAAAAAATAGGAATCCTATGAAGGCCATACGTATTGATATGCTTATATATCATATACTTTTTCTTTATAAATGTCATAGGCCAGTATTCATAGTCGATTTTTATTTCAAGACTGTCTTAAGTAATGACTTAAGACGCTAATGCAGCCCTCTGATTGGTTCGTGACTTCTTAAGATGACTTAAGACGGAGTTGAATGTAAGATCTGACTATGAATTCCGGCCATAATTTGTTGAAACAATAATTAAAGTTCGGCCGAAATCGAAATTTTGATTGTGTGTCAATTTTGGCCAAAGAATATAACTCTACATAAACTTCTACATAAATATTTCTACATAAACATCATAATTTAATTATTGAAATATTATAATATATATAATTACACATATTAAAATTAATATTTATGAAGAGCTGTATAATTTTAGTCGAAATTGACACGTAATGAGTGTTCGTTTTCAGTTTCAGTCAAAGTTTCGATCGGACTTTAGCTAGAGGTTAGACAAGTAACGATCTTTTCTCGATGATTTTTAGCGTGAAAAAGAAGTTTTGTATTTCTTGGGGGAAAGGGAAACGAAACATGAGATAAAATCTTCATCCTTTGTAAACTTAGAGCGGTATTCATAGTCTGTTTTTATTTTAAGATCGTCTTAAGTAATGTCTTAAGATGCCAATACAGCCCTTTGATTGGTTCGTGATATCTTAAGATTGTACTTAGCTAATTTTAAGTACAAGAATATGAAGAATCGGCTGTGAATACCGGCCTTATGCCCGTATCAGACTATAAATTGACGATTACAATTGATGATTATCCGATTCTACTTTGACCAATCACGATGTAGCGAGTCCATCGTAATTGGCTAAAATAGAACCGGGCAACCATCAATTGTAATTGTCAACTGTAGTTAGACTGTGCGTTCCGTTTCACGCGTAATACACATGATGTATCATTTGTGCAATGGAACGAGGCCCAGTTTCACAACTCATGGTTAACTCTTAACCGAAGTTTAACTTATTCTTCATCTCTTTCTAATGCTAGAATTAGAAAGATATGAGAAATAAGTTGGACTTCGGATTAAGCGTTAACTGTGAGTTGTAAACTGAGCTTTAAAAACTTTCAAAAAATAATGGTACTTGCGAATATGTAAACTTGATCAAAAATTTCTAAACTTCTATTCAAAAGTCTATTCAAACTAACTTGCATAGTTGTATAACTATTCATAAAGAAATTAAATAATCCAATAATATTTCTATCATAAAGACACGTGTAAAATACAATTGGATAATTTTGTGCATATGTTATGCAAATTCATCTGGATAAGTCTTTATTAATTATTATCAATATATTCTTATTATGTTATATTTTTTCGCTTATTTTATAATTTTCATTTTTTTTTATTTTATCATTTATGCAATAAGAATCTTATTTTACATCGTGCATGTGAGAACACAATCGATAAACTAGAAATCTGTTCCGATTGAAGCTGGATGCTTTTAAATAATTTCTATATGTAAATTTATATACTAAATTATGTAATTATTTGAACTACGCACCAAAATGATTTTTCGAATTTATAAACGCAATCAAATTGTTATCACTGTACTATACTGTATTGACAACTGGTAGTAATATACAGCCTTAGTATATAAATTCACATAGAAGTTATTTAAAAGCATTACAGATCCAGCTCCGATTGTTATTTATGTTTTTTTATTTTGTTTAATAAAGACATATATAAGGATCATAAAACATAAAGAATATTTTGTGTCCCTAAGGGCTGCTGCACACAAAATTCCGCAATAGTGACTGTAAAACGGGAAGCACAATTTATTTTCTTATGCATTACGTGTTATGCATTATGTAAAAGTCTGTGCTTCCCGCTTAAGACGTAAACTTAAGCCGATGAGTCAATCAGGATATTGCTTTAGGTCTATGTAATTTAACGGAAAAAGGAGGGGTTGAAATAACAGTAAACCCATAATCTTGCAATAAGGTGAATTTAAACCGGTTGAAACTCGTTTTTTTATGGATAAGTTTCCTGCTATTTCTATTTCCATTAGAGTACGTAAATCTAAAGCAGTATCCTGATTGACTCATCAGCTTAAGTTCACGTCTTAAGATTACTGTTACAGAAATTTTGTCTGCGGCAGTCGTAAGGAGGCCTGCATACACTTTCCATAACAGTAACCATAAGACTGACATCTCATCCCAATCAGAAATGATGTCGATTCCATTATTATTTCTAACTAGGATGAAGTAGAAATTTACAGCGGAATGGAACAGTCGACCAATCACAACTCTGCAGTCATTATTTTGCTTTCTTTTCTGCGATCGTGATTGGTCTCGCTGTTTCGTTCCGCTGTAAATTTCCGCTCATGGAACGCTAGCCTTATACTTTAGTTGTGGAGAAGAAAGATTTTTAAATCCATGTATATAAAGACAGTTAAAAAAACATTTATGTATTTAAAAAAAAAATTATCGGTAAAATGGATGACTTTAGGATTCCTTTAAGTGAGTTTTTAAAATTTTCTCCTTTTCTGTCTCTGATTTTTTCAAAAAGACAGAGA